TGCCTCGTAGTGTTACATTACACACCCTGTGGCTGCCCTCATCTTTGTTTCCCTCCCTTCGTTGAAGCTCATTTGTAACAAAGCAACGCCTGTGTCGGTGAACCTGACTGTATATATCAATTACACGAATGGAGTACCAACTGCCTTTGTGGTCCGGAATCACAACACATGAGCATGACTGTGACACAAAGTGCCATCAGGTGAGCAAGCTAACAAGGCTAACAAGGCAAAAAGAGCACGCACAACGGCCACAACAACGGGCAGCAACAAATGATAGAAATGACAGCGTGTTCTCTGGCTCATGACACCACCTTGAGGGCGCCATCACACGTCGCACCTGCCACTGCCGCAGGCAGTGGTGACGAGCTAAGAAACAAAGTAAAACCGAACGCAGAAGCGAAGAACAGGTGCTAAAGACTGAAATACGCATGCGTTGCAGGAGGGTGTTGAGCTACAAGCCGCGTGGGCCGCCCTCGCCCTCGGAACTGACCACTTGAACAACTTGCCTCCAAAATCTCATGGCTGGAGTGCAAGCAAGGGAAGGGATGTTTGTGACCATCGATTCCGACTTGCAGAAGCTTGGCTGACGGCCGTAACCCTGTAACTCTCTAGACCTCTGTCACCGGTGATCCTACAACACAGAGACGGATGCACGCCTGCCTGTTGATTCGTACAATGGGTTGTCCTCCAGCCACACAGCATCGAACCCGCGGTTTTGTGCATGCACGCAACCAGAAATGGTTGACAGCACAGGCATGACCGTGTGTGGCTCGGACGCACCAATCTATTTCAAAATGGTGTGAGTGTGTGAGCGTGTGAGTGTGTGAGTGCGTGAGTGTGTGAGTGTGAGCGTGTGTGTGTGTGAGTGTGTGAATGTGTGAGTGTTTGTGAGTGTGTTGGAGAGAGAGAGTGTGTGTGTGTGTGTTTGTGAGTGTCATTGTGAGCGTTTGTGAGTGTGAGTGCGAGCATGTGTGTGAGTGTGCACATGAGTGTGCACATGAGTGTGTGTGTGTGTGTGTGTGTGTGCATGGAAGCAAGCTTGACATGAAGTTAACGCTTCACCATAGACCCACGCACACGTGCGCATCGTGAGTGTACCTGTGGGGCTGTGCGATGGCGGCGGCCTTTGCGATACGTGGCAACCGCTGCAACCGCAACAACGACCAATACAAGCCCGCCGCCTGTTTGAACATAACATCAGGTGCAAGAGAGAAGCAGTGTGAATCAGCCAGTTAGGCATCTCGTCGGCTGGGGACCGCTTGGTGGCTGATAGCAAGACAAATGCAAACACGCGGGAGCACGCAGGGGAGCAACACGCCGACGCACGTGTGGACATGCGGACAGTCTCGGAAGGAGCACGAGCAGACGTGCCAAAGCATATGGCAGCACGGACCAAACGCACATAACACATAACATAACACCACCACCATCGAAAGCGTACCAGCGGCACCGACGGGCGCGGCCCAGGTTGACGCGGAAGCATTTGACTCTGATGGATTCGGGCTTGCATGATTTGGAGCAACAGATGATGATGACGATGATGACGATGAGGAAGGCAGGCTTGCGTTTGGCGTTGAGGTCGTTGGCCCAAGCCCAGGAGCGAAAGTGTGCGTCGTTGAGGAGGTGGCTTGAGCGGCCGTCGTGACTGAGGTTGAAGCTGAAGCGGTGATTGAGATCGTAGCGATCGATGTAGCCGTTGTAGTTGTTGCTGCGGTTGCCGTTGTGCCGCCAGTGCTGCAATCAGTGCAGATGGTCTTTGTGGTCTTTGTGGTGGTGGTGGTAGGGGCAGTGGTGGTGGTCTTTGTGGTGGTGCTCATCATGGGCGTTGTTGTTGTTGTTGTTGTTGTTGTTGTTGTTGTTGTTGTTGTTGTTGTTGTTGTTGTTGTTGTTGTTGTTGTTGTTGTTGTTGTTGTTGTTGTTGTTGTTGTTGTTGTTGTTGTTGTTGTTGTTGTTGTTGTTGTTGTTGTTGTTGTTGTTGTTGTTGTTGTTGTTGTTGTTGTTGTTGTTGTTGTTGTTGTTGTTGTTGTTGTGGTCATTGTCGCCTGTGTGGTTGCTGGCGTGCCCGATGTTGTCGCTCTCGTGGTGTCTTGCATCGACGCGGTGGTGGTGTTTGGACGAATCGTCGTGTCAGTGGTTGGTGCTGTTGGACTCGCCCCGACAGTAGTTGTTGAGAGTGTCTTTGCAACTGTCGTGGTAGTTGTGGTGGTGGTTGTGGTTGTGGTTGTGGTTGTGGTTGTGGTTGTGGTTGTGGTTGTGGTTGTGGGTGTGGTTGTGGTTGTGGTTGTGGTTGTGGTTGTGGTTGTGGTTGTGGTTGTGGTTGTGGTTGTGGTTGTGGTTGTGGTCGTCGTCATGCATATGTCAGGCCGCGGCAACCCGCCGTACAGGATGTCTAGAAGCGAGCTCGCCTCCCCGTTCCATCTCACGGAAGGGACGTGACTGCCTGCCCACGTTGCTAGACCAATGTCCACCTATCGGCCACACAAAAGCAACACAGCATACGTGTAAGAGTAAGGCGTTTGCACGCACATCAGGTCCTCACACGCATCACACAAGCAACCGCGGGGGTCCAAAGGGGGTTCACGCATATCACAAGCATCATATCCATGCACAAGCCATGTTCCCATTCAAACTGCTGCATGACCCCTCTCGCTGCATACTTACAAACGTGTTGAATGACAGGTCGTGGTGCCGTTGGGTGTGAAGAGAGTTGACGTGGGTGCAAGCGCCTTGAGCTTTCATCGTTACGGCACCAGCACCATCAACAGTTATGTTGCTCAATATTGACACACCCATGACACCGGGAATGCTGCTTCTGTTGAAGCACAGTGCGCAGATGGAAGGGAATAAGGCGGGAAGGTGTGTGGAGTGGTGTGAGCGGCTGCAGCACTCGCCGATTTGATTGAGTGGCTGTGGAACAAAAAAACAATACGAAGGGCCAATGACCTTCGAGATACAACAAAGAACCGCACACAAGCGTATGCAGACACACACACGCAAGGACACTGACAGGCAAGCGTGCACACACACACACACACGCACGCACGCACACACGCACCAGCGCACCACACACGACAGACACGCGCACCACACACGACAGACACGCGCACCACACACGACAGCCACACGCACCACACGCACCACACGTAAGTGTACACATGACAACGCTCGATGACGTACTGTGCATTGTCGCCGATGGTGACTGTGAGGTCTGTCGAGTCTGCGCTGTTGAGTTGGAGCGATGGCAGGCGTTGCACGTTTGGCAAGTCCACGCTGATGGTGCCGTCCTCCTCTGCATTCACCACAATGCTTTCAGCGACGAGCACCGTGCTAAACTTGATGTTGACACGAAAAGTGAACAGGTTCGCCTTGCTCGGCACCAGCACCGTCAAGGTGTCAACTGTGGCCAGCAATTCAACAACCACGTCGCAGTTGGAGCCTAGAAACGTGGGTGCATTGATGATCAACGTGGGACTGAGGCTGTTCTGCAGTTCAGTCACTGTGACCCCATCGCCACAGCCAAAAATGCTTGGCGTGAAAGTGTAGGACAGCTCCCCAACGACGTTCACATCGTCATCATCAGCATTGCTGCTGCCGCCGCTGTCACTTCCGTGCTGCGCTTGCACCAGTGCACATGGTTGCTGTTGTGGAGAACACACGCACCAACACGCCAGCAGGCACGCGAGCGCTAGCGTCAGCGTGCGTCCCCACGTTCTCCTCCGTCTTGAGCTTGCCATCATTGTGTGTGTGTGTCCGTTCTGCTGTGTGTGTTCTGTGGCCGGGTGGCTTGGGGCTGACAGCAGGACAGCCAGGGCAACTCCGCAAAGCAGCATTCACTGCAGTGAGATGGTGATGGCTTCTTGCTCCCAGCCTCGGACCTCAGGAGGGATAATGTACAATAACTTGTCGTCGTTGCTCGAGAGGAACAAGAAAGGAAGAGACGCTCTGCTCTGCCGACTAGGAGGTGGCAGCAGCTGTGTGGGAAAAACGAGGCACCAAACGAAACTCATCATGTAACATAAAATTGGAGGAACCACGTCCCAATGTCGCGCGGCATGGGGCCACATTGTGATGTCGCCAGGCGCGACGTCATGCGGATGATGATGATGTCATCGTGGCCGGCTCCGCAGGCAAACAAACTAAACATCACTTGGGCGGGAAGGCAAAGTCCCTGCCGTCCATACAAAGCAAATCATCATTCAATCATGCATGGCTTTTACACTCACTGAAGGAAAGAAGGGGTAGGTCATCATACAGAATGTTGAAACGTTGTGAAAAGGCAATGCAAGGCAGGCAAAGAAGGATACAACGTCAAGAAACACACGCACGCACACATTAAACCGTCACTCGCTCTAGCGCTCTCACTATCATACACCCACGCGAGCACGCGCGCGCAATCTCACACTCTCACTCACACTCATGCATCCACAAACCCACCCACGCACTCAGCTACCGCCCCCGGCCCCCAAAACTCCTCGACACAATCCAGCAATCCTTCTACAGCTCCGAGGCGGATGCGCGCCTGTCTGTGGATTCGTACAATGGGTTGTCCTCCAGCCACAACGGATCAAACCCGCGGTTTTGGGCATGCATGCAGCCAGAGACAGTCGACAGCACAGGCATGGCCGTGCCGTTGTTGGGCGGCATGGTTTGCTGCACGGGAGCGTTGTGTGTGTGTGTGTGTGTGTGTGTGTGTGTGTGTGTGTGTGTGTGTGTGTGTGTGTGTGTGTGTGTGTGTGTGTGTGTGTGCCAGAGTACGTGCAGGGCAAGGTATGTGAGTGCGTGGCTCTGTTTCACTCTCTATCTGTGAGGGGGAGAGCCAAGGATTGTCAGTCCTGTGTGGCTGTGTGTGTGTGTGTGTCTGTCTGTCTGTCTCTCTCTCTCTGTCTCTCTCTGTCTCTGTCTCTGTCTCTCTGTCTCTGTCTGTCTCTGTCTCTCTCTCTCTGTCTGTCTCTCTCTCTCTGTCTATCTGTCTCTCTGTGCGTGTCTGTAGGCCTCACGCA